CATACTAAAAATAAAACAATAAAAAAAATTCAAAATATAAGTGGAGTCCTATTTCGAGAAGAAACTAATATTGTAATAGTGCTTTTATTAAGATTTTTTTTCTAAATACTAAAAAAAAGTTTAACAAACACCAAAGATATATACCCTACACACGCATACAATAAGGATCAAATGAGAAGATTGTTTATTGTAAGAAATGAGAATGCAATTGGTACACTGAATTTGGAATCTAATGGCTGGAATGTGCAAAAAGTACTAACATAAAGTGTTGCAAGATGCCGTGACAATTCTATAATTAACCGGATTTTTTTGTCATTGCAAAAAAGTGCATCAATTTACGATAAAAAGAAGTAAATGTGGAACTTTTCTTATTTCTCATGAAGTTAGGGATGTAACTTAGGCTCCAGCGCATCCTAAATTAAAAAAAAAGTCTTCATTTTTAATGTAAAAAATTTTATGTAATTTTTTTTTCAAAAAATATTCTTTGTACCAGTCCATTCTTGTTCAGTGCGCTAGCTCTGCCCTTATTAACGAGGAAGCGGTCTAGCTCACTAGTCGGCTTAATCGCTGACTCACTCTACGGGAGGAAGCATGATCGTCGTGAGGCAGTCAGGCAGAACATATTGATATTAATGAAGAGCAGCAAAGAAAGGGACAAGATTTCTTGGTTGAGTCCATTGTGGTGGGAGGTGCTCGATCGTTCACTTGACCTCACGAGCAGAGCTGATTCACAGTGTGAAGCTGTAGATTGGGAGTGAAGAGTAGAAAAACCATATACTAAGAATTAAGAAAGCTTTTACAGTTGGACTTGTGTACACACTATTTTGGTGTACACACTTTTACACACATGTCATTGTAGACTTTTTTTGTCTGTATAAATAAAACATATTTTAATAAAATACGTTTTATGAGTACAACAAAAAAAGGCCTACACAGACACGTGAAAAAGTGCATATCAAAAAATAGTATGTACAAAAAGTATTTTTGAAACTTTTATTAGCCGCTAAAAAAAATGAAAACATAGACGGACGACTAAAATGAGCTTCCAAGAAACTCCCTAGCACGCATTGGCTATGCCAGGGAGTTGGGGCTATAAATTCAACATATGAGTCAAAGGAAGCATAATTTTTGTAACATGCAATAATAAATTTTATAGTAGTTCTGTACTACAAACATGTTATTGACAGAAAATAGATGTTCATATACGTACTGCTTTTGTGGGGATAAGAGAATGGGGAAAATAAAACTTATACAATGCAAGACTTAGGCAATGCAAATATTTTTTCATTACAAGTATGGACAGGACAAATATCAATGCCCACAACTCACATAGCTTTGGAATTCAAAGCTACGTACAATTTAAATATCAAAACACATTAAAAATTGTGTTTTAAGAAAATAAAATATATACTACGTACAATTTCTACGAGATGTATCAACTTTAACTACGTACAGTTTGGATATGATTACCATACTACTAGAATGATGAGAAAAATAAAAGCACCATCAATATGGTTCATCATATATTTAGTTCATCAAGAAAATACATTAGTAAATTAAGTAATATCATACGCACATTGAATAATAATAAGTTAGGTTAAGTTATACTCCGTAATAATTTCATATAAATGTGAACTTTTAGTTTGTATAAGTCGCGTGTTTTTGTACATTTTTAGAGGGATCCCATAGTATCCTCCCTCCGTCCCATAAAATAGTTCTCGCATTGACTTGGATCGGAGTTTAAGAAAGTAGGAATAAAGTGGAAATGTATGGTTATGGTTGAGTAAGAAAAATGTAAATGAATGTGAGCCACGCTAACCTTTCCAAAAAGGGAAATGTGAACTATTTTTTGGGACGGCCCAAAAAGGAAATCGAAAACTATTTTATGGGACGGAGGGAGTATATTTTAATATAACTCCCTCCCAAAAGAAGTTTTCATATTTCTTCGATGTCTCAAAATGAGTTTCTCATTTAATTTTTATAAAAAGATGGCTTTAATAGCAAATGTCAAACTACCCTTACTTTTTGCTTACTTTTTAACATAAAATACTTGTATATTTAGAAAATCAAAACAAAGTTTTATCTTACATAAATATGTGTGCAAGTCAAAATGAAAACTTCTTCACAGGACATATGAGTAATATATATGGAGCACATATATAATACCCCCAGCGTCCCATTTTACCTGTCTTACTTTTTTTTTGGGTTGTCCCAAAATAAGTGTCATCTTTCTCTATTTGGAAAGAAATATGTGATCAACAACATTTCAATTTATTATACTCAAATTTCAACCACAACTTTTACCTTTTCAAGCACTTTATTAATAATTGTGCCAAAGTCAAAGAAGACATATAAAATGGAACGGAGGTAGTAGTACTTATACAAATTAAAGAGAAATTGGGCCGAGAGGGCCTTGAATTGGCCCCTTCTTTTAAAAGCATAGATTTGCCATTGAGCTATGCCATTCGTTATCAAATCTTTCTTCATCCCTTCTCTAAGAGGGGTTCAACACTTCAACTTACATTCTTGAAGCGTAAAATATACTACGGAGAGATTAAAAATTTTATATCAACAAAAATAACAAGATGCCTAACATCTGTGTTAGCAAGATTCCCAATTTGGTTTCTAATTTCTCTGATTATCTTTCCTTATTTAATACTCTTTCCGTCTCGAAATGAAGTTCTACATTTTTCTTTTCGGGATGTCTCAAAATAACTTCTTTCCATATTTGGTAATTTTTTATTATTCATTTATCGTTTTACCCTCACATCACTTCATAGAATTCATGTGTGTTACACTCATTTCACTATTCATTACTATCTTTATTATATCCATTTGGGCACTACACGTTTTAATTACCCAAGGGAATTTTTGAAAAGTCAACTTTATTTCCTATTCTACTTAAAACCCGTGAAGTCAAACGAGAAACTTTATTTTGGGGCGGAGTATATATTCTTCTTATCCTTTTTAAGTTTTTATTTTTAACATTTTTATCTCTATCTTATAGTTATCTTTGCCATATATTTTTTTATTTATCATATTTTATTTTTTTATTATTCTTATTTTCTTCTCCTTTTGGCTCCGATATCATTTGTCAATTCGTGTAAGCTGATCACAATATCTTTTGGAACAAAGTCTTTGGATGTTGTTGTGACATTCCTTACTTGCTATCATTGCTGCTTCAAATCTGCCTTGTCCCGAAGCCTCACGGCCGAGATTTACCCCATAAGTGTAAGACATCAACTTGTGTGTTCTTAATCCACTTACGCCTAGCAAATTACTTGAAATAGGTTGCTTCATGTTTGTGTTGGGTAATTTACCAAATTGTAGGGACGTTCATAATGCACAGATGATATAGTTGGCTGTCTTTAACGCCTATTTCTTCCTTCAACCTTATCATAATTCATGATATTTGGTTGTCTCTGAGCGTCTATTTCTTACTCCAACCTAGGCATGGCCTCGGTTCGGGCCGCCCGGCCCGGGACCGGCCCGACCCGCTACTGTGCGGGCCCGGCCCGGCCCGGTTTTCCGGGTCCGGTTCGGGCCGGAGGCCCGGGGGTGGGGCGGTTCTGGGCTCGATTCATGGGTTTGACGGCCCGGCCCGGCCGTTTCGGGCCCGGGTCCGGGACAAATCTATTTTTTTTTTAATTTTTTTTCATTTTTTTGGGCTGTTGGGCTTGGGCTATCTATTTAGGCCGGTTTGGGGGTGGGGGGTGGGGGGTGGGGGGTTGGGGGGGGGGAGAAAGAAAGAAAAAAAAAATAAACCGGGTGGCCCGGTCCGGCCCGGAACCGGACCCGGGACCGCCCTACCCCGGTTCGGGATCGGGCCTGCTATTACTGAACCGAGGCCCGGTTCAGTCCACCACTACTCCAACCGTTATCTATAATGTGGGGTTAGTTCTAGCCAGGGTCGGAGTCGGGGGGGGGGGGGGTCAGAGTGGTCAACCAACCCTGTTGAAAATGTGAAAGTATAAATATCTGAAATACCTTTGATTTGATATATTATGACTCGCTTAACTCATTACGAGTAAAAAGTTATTACTTCTGCAAAATCAACACTATCTAAAAGTAAAATTAACAAAATTTGATGCGTAATATTGATTATTTTCCCAATGTTAAAAATAGCATATAATTAAACTTTACTCACGGGACATGCTTTAAAGACAGAGCAAAGACAATCTATCTTATAGCTACGAGTGTCTATGTATCTAAACTGAAACATTCAATTCAGACATTGTCTAAATACAATACATCGTTTCATTTGGTATATAGTTGATTTTCGAGCCCTCTAGGCCATTTTTCTGGTTCTGCCATTGGTTCTAACTAGAAGTGGTGGTGAAGGTTCTAATTCATTTTAGAGGGGATAGTAACCTTAGCATTGGTAGGGGTGTGTGCTGGTAGCATTAAGGCTGGAGACTTGATGACAATAGTTCTAGTGGCGGTGGTTTCAGTATCAACAGTTCAACACCGTCACAGTTCAACATTGTCACGGTTGGAGGTGTTGATGGTGGATTAGTGAAAGAAATCTTTATTTTTTTGGTATCAGCAAATGTATAAGTTTTGGAGGAATCTTTATTTTTTAAGTGAAACATCTAATGTAAAAGTTCTGATCATGAAATGCATGTTTTGCTTTCATTGCATCTAAAGTAAAATCAATCCATATCAAGACTTGAAATGTTATGAAATCATCTTTTAATATTTCAAGGTGGCTAAGGACTTTTCATAGAAAAAAGTTCAAAAGGTACAACTTACAAAATCATCTACCAGACATCTAAATGATATGCATTGATAACAATAGAGCTCAATCCTCCTTGGTTGGGTAAAAGATGGTAGTTGATCGATTTTATGAGCAGAAATTTTATTTATTTACCTCTTCTCCTTTATTAAGAACAAAATAAAGCTTCCAAGAAACCTGCCCCAAACCCCACACCATCCTCCCCCTGCAGGACGGATGCACACTGGCTGCCCCCCCCCCCCACCCCCCCACCCCTATTGCCCTCCCTGATTTGCCTTGCAGAGTACTTGGCAAGGGCTCTGCTGATTTCTTATGAAAGTAAATAAGTAATGATACCTATTTCTTTTAAAATATGATTTGGTTAATAAGAAGTTCACATTCAGAATATCAATGAAGGTAGAAAATAGAAATCCAATGTCATCCAAAAAACAGCAGCTTCCTTGGTCATTAAGTCAGCAAGCTGATAGAGTACTCCTTTTCCATTCCCACGTTAATTACATTTTGAAGTAAGCAACTGCAATACTCCCATATGTGCCTACATGAATGCTGATGTATCATCAAAATAATAAGGTGAATCTGGTTTTTAATATTTGAACCGAATGAAAGATAATTTTGAGATGGACTAAAAAGGAAAGTATAAAGATAATCAAGGGGAAGTGGGAATCCCTAAATGATTAGGAAATTTTGTTGCACGGGTGAAAATACCAGTACCAGTGAAGGTAGAACTTCGCCTATGTCATTCAAAAGTCAGCAGCTTCCTTGGTCATAAGTCAGCAAGCCGATGGAGTACTCTTTTTCCATTTCCACATTAACTAACCTTGACGTGTGGCTTCAGCATTGTACCTGAAACCTTGCTAAGAAAATCCATTATTATTTAAACTGAAACCTGGATGGCTCCAGAGGGAAAAAGAGATTAAAAAATTCACTTTAATCATAATGTAGGCCAAGGATGATTTATGTGGGAATGAAAAAATAGTACTCTTATCTTAAAATGAATTTGAAATTAATAGATTTTAGTTTATGTATTTGAATTGAAAAAGACTAACGGCCAATAGGCATGGTAAATGACTTTCAAGTGTTGTAGAATCTGGACGAAAACAGCCAAGAATTCCAAATGTTCTCTCGTCACTCTTATCTGTGTGTTGCATAGATATTTTTTTCGATGATGAAACTGACTAATTCATACGGAAAAAATATTGCTTGTTCATTTAACATTTCTCAAAGATAAGATGACACTAATTCATAAGAAAATTAGCAAGGTTCATAGGAATCAACATTTTAATAGTTCACCTTTATATGTGAAAAATAACTGTATGGGTTAGCTAAGGTTCAATATTACTTAGAATGCTGTTATGTTCAAAGCTGTTCACTCGGTTGCAAATATTTTAATGAAAATTAGCTCATCATGTTAAATAATATACAGAGTAGAATTTATTTTCAAAATGAGACTCAATTCAAAGAGGCCAGACCCTATAGAAACACACGGTGTGTGAGCTGAATTTGGATAATATGGTACAATTGGCCTGGGTAGAATGTTAATTGGAAAGTGTTAAAATACTTACCAGGAACAGAAGGCCAAGAGTTGCCTTAATTTTGTTTATGTCATCCAGAGCTTCTGAACATATATTCCTCATTATACATTCAGGATTCCTCCATCCACTTCCCATTCCTACCTAAATATGGATAGACATAAGCATGTATTTTGTGAGTGGAGTGGTGGACTACCTAGGGAAATGGGCAAAGATGAAAAACTAGTGGTAGTGGACAGACTGACCAAGCTTGCCCATTTCATTGCACCATCTCATCCCTATACAGGCATACAGCTAAAGGAGTTGCAGAGATTTTCATACAAGAGGTGGTCAGATTGCATGCACTTCCCAAGTCCATAGTATCAGACAGAGATTTCTATAATTTGCAATGGAGTAAAGACTCATTATTCTTTGGCTTGAGAATATGATGGAATAAAGCAAAATGGCTCACTGAACTGTCTGCGCTTCTTTGTTATGAAGAAAGAGCCAGTCCAAGCAATATTTTACGCAATTTACACCATGGGTCATCCGGAAACAATCTCTCTGTGCTATAGTACAGGGTTAAGGCTACGTACATTCGACCCTCCCTTACCCCACTGTAGGCGGGAACCTCTGCGGGGGTAATGATGATGATGATAGTATCAGACAGAGATAACATCTTTCTAAATAGTGAGTACGTTCTAGTCTGAACTATTTCAATTAGCATGAACTAGACCAAGGTACAACACAAGTGCACAACTTATCACCCCCAAATTGATGGGCAGAGTGGCAGACTGAGGTAGTGAATAGGCGTGTGGAAACCTATTTGAGGTGTACTAATGGAAGCAAGCCCAAGCAGTGGCCTAAATGGCTTCCTTGGGCAGAATACGGTATAATACCAACTTTCATGCTTCCTTGAAAACTACTCCCTACAAAGCATTATATGGACAAGAACTACCTGTGACCTGCGTTAATAAAGGGAGATGCTGCTTTGACTGCTGTAGATGAGGTGACCAGATTGTTGAGAGGAACATGATGCTGGAAGAGTTAAAGGGTAATCTAGCCAAAACTCAGAATCAAATGAAACAATAGGCTAACAAGAAGAGGAAGGATAGCCAGGTGGAAGTAGGGAATAAGGTTTTCCCAAGGATTCAGCCTTATAAACAGTAAGATTTAGCTATGAAACTCAATCAAAAGCTGAGCCCCAGGTATTATGGACCTTTTGAGGTGGTTGAGAAAATCAATCAGGTGGCCTACAAGTTGAATCTACCAGAAAGTAGTAAGGTGTGTCCTGTCTTTCATACTTCGTATATCTCTTTTAAAGAAGGCCCTAAATCCCAGCACCCCCTGTGCAACCTCTTCCAGCTTGTTTGACTGAGGATTGGAAACCACAAGTTCAACTGGAGGAAGTGATTGAATGCAGAATAACTCCGGGAGGAAATAAAGAGATCTTGGTGCATTGGAGACAATTACCAGCATTTGAAGATTCCTGGGAAGACTGACATCAATTCCAGAAGCAATTCCCTGACTTCCACCTCGAGGGCAAGGTGATTTTAAAGGGGGGGGGAGTGATAGGACTTCGGAGGCTTCTAAGGGGTGTACACAAGCAGGGGTAGAATAACTAATTAGTGGCTGAGGTGGATGGTTAGTAAGGGGAAGAGGGAATAAAAAGAACGAAGAGGAGAGAGGAGGTAGGCTGTTAGTGGGTCAGAACTTGGAGAGCAAGACACTCTCGAATTGCCTAGTCTGTCTTCTTCCTTTCTACTGTAATTCTGGTTTTTCATAATGTGATCCGAGATTTACTTTTGGCTGTGTGGATCCATTTAATTCCATAATTTCTGTATTTCTACAATTCTGTTGTTACCTATCATTAAATTTTAAAACCTAGAGAAATGTGCATTAGAGTTTTATCAAATGCATTATTATTACCTGCATAGAAAAATCCAAGGAGGATCTTCTCCATCCTGCCAATCGATTCTTGGACTAAAGTCACTAAACCATAGTTATGACTGTATATAGGAAATGCATTACTCCATAAGACATGGCTACAATAATCAAAGTTTAAAAAAGCTAGTTCGAGTATCTAGGCGGGTTGTTCGAGAGAGGCGAGGCGTTAGCCTCAAAATTTACCAACAAGTAAAACTGAAAATAGTTAAACTAGTAATAACCAACAATAGATATGCATAATAAAAGTCCAAAAAGTCTCAAACACGAACATATATATGATCACGTCATTAAACATGATAATTCAAAATGAGAATTTATACACAAAACAGACATATCACATATATGACGATTTGAAACTCTTTGGAAGAATAAGTATATATTTATATCTTATAGCCTTCTCACCGTCATCCCTTCTATCATCACTATCAAAATCCTTAAGGTCTTTCTCTTCTTCATCATCATTTATCTCCACTACTTGTTTATTTGTCTTATTTTTTCCTTGGTTACCCATCTGATTCTTTGTGCAGAAGTATGGGTAAGTTTTAACAACACGTAGAATGCCTTAATAGGGAGTATATGTTAGAATTTAAATGAAACAAGACTAGTTTGGGTTTAGTGTAGACACGTGTCCAGAGGGGTTATAACTTATTGTCTAGCAACACTCCAGAGGGGTTTGTTGTTGAGGTCATGTAATTATGTTTATTAGGCAAGTACATAATAATACTTAAAACCAAATTTTCATCTCATATTGTTGCTTTATCCTCATTTCCACGTCTTTTAGTTATACTCCCTCCGTCCCACTAACAATCGGACAAGAGGGGGTGGCACGCAAATCTATAAAAAGTGGATTATGTGGTTGATATTGAATTGATAAAGTAAGAATAAAGTAAGAATGATTTAGAGTCACACAAACTTTACCAAATAAGGTGTGGGACGGACCGAAATAGTAAAATGGGACAATCGGGACTTATAAACCACTTCTGGTTTTGACTAAATAAGTACTCCGTAATTGTTTAGATAAGTAAAGCGGGACGGAGGTAGTACTAAATAAGTAATCATGACACTTATAAACCATATTACTCTTTAATGAAAGAAAATTATTTCATTTTATGTGCTATGGGATGTGGTAGGCGGTAGCACATTCTAATCACGTTTAAAAAATTAAAAAGTTTAGGTCAGACATCTAACTTTGTAAACAGAGATTCCTATACGAGAACTCCTCGGTAAAACGGTTTAAAGGCTACTGACTTTGAAGATCTTATTGAGTCTATTAGATCTAATCATCTAAGATTCAAAAAGGGGAGGATCATCTGTTCTTCATGGCAGGCATAGTTACTCTTATTAAAAGCATTTCCAAAATGAAGAACTGTTTTACAAGTTTGGTGAATGTAGGGCGTATTATACTCAGAGAAGACCAGACTTATTTATCCAATTCAGTAGATCAATCCAGATTGTATTCTTCTAAAATTTGAAGTTAACTTCTCATTTCAGGTGATACTATAGATTTCACATACATAAATACATAGTGATGGAACTAATTGTCCCGATCGAGTAAATAAAGAAATTAGAGCGGACAGAGTATTTTATCGTGGAAACCAAATCGGTGAAAACCACGGGCCTTTTTGGGCGGTACCATGCCAACGGGAGCCGGGAGCTTTTATTATCGTTGTGTGGGAGAGGTTACATGTACAAAGCATATATGAAGCTTTTAGGGAAGCCATTGATGGAAAAATAAACTAGGAAGAAGAAATATACATGCGTATGAGAGGAGAGAGATGGGGGTGATGTCTCGTAGGAAATGAGGTTGTAGCTAGGAAATTCTCACCCTTCTTCATTGAGTGGCTAGTCATTAAATAGTCAAATATGTGCAAGTGGATATCAATCAGGAAGTCTCCTCACTCACTCACATGTCATATTGATATGAGTACATGGTAAGGTGTGGGACCAGATGTGTTTCCTCTCAATTATTCTACTCCGAAATTGTGAGTGTGTTGATATTTTCTGTATATTCAGATCTGAATAAGAACTTATATCCGGAGGAGATGTGTCTGGAGGAATATTCTCTATCACATAGCTATCGACCTGAACTTGTAGTTGGTAGGTGGTGGCACATACTCCTTATTTTATAAGTACACAGAAGTCCTAATCTTAAACGTATTATAAGATTTTAGTATGAGACAACAACAATAGCTAAACTGTTAAACGTATCAATTATAAAATCAGCAAAGTAGGAACAAAAATTATCAAGTGAAAATAAAACTTACATGAACAAATAGCTACTGAGACACACACAAACATGCAGCTCCAAACGCACTTTTTCAAGTGATCATACAATCAGATGTTATAGACCAGTCTCAGATAAAACATCTGAGCTTAGGACAAGAATGAGGACAACTTTCACCTTGAGAATGTAGAGATTAGCCAAAAAGTAGCCAATCAGTATCTGGGTTTCTTTTGCAAGGCAGAGTCAGGTTTCCTCTTTATGCCCAAGAAGTGTTCAACCTTTTCATTACCAAGCATGGGTGTTAACCTTCCAGGAAAGTCCTTCTCAATAGTAGCAAAACCACTTCTGGGATCTCTAGTTTGACCTGGTTTAACATCCCCACTTAGAACCAAATAAGGTGTCTTTAGCTTTTCTTGAGCTTCCCTCATTCTCTCCACCGACTGCAATGGTTTGTCTGAATTCCTCATTTGTTTAATCTTTATCTCTTGCAGATTTTTCCGCATGCGTTTTTCTTGTTTCGATTGCAATGGTTTGCCAGGTCCCTTTCCATGGAATGCATGGGACAGCCGCCTAAACGACTCTTTTGGAGTCAAATTCCGACCATACTCATCAGTCCTTTCGATGCGTATTTCTTTAGGCCCTTCCTCATCCATAATACCCACAAGATTACTTTTTTTCTTGCCCATGTTTCGACCGCCCCATTCGATTGCTTCCTTGAGTGACCCTCGATCTTTCAGAAGTTTGAGAGCTCCAGATAACCCCTTCCCGACTGCAGCTTCACGTTTGTGCCATCTGGAACTGTCTTCCCCTCACCCTCTTTCTTTAGAGTTTTTTTCCGTATTAATGTTAATTAATTAAATAATTACGAAAATAGGTTTGGGTTAAAAGTATTTACCAATATACTTATGGGTTAACCATGGTCGGGGTAAGTCGCCAACCGTTGGGCGACTTATAAGTCGCCAAACGGTTTGGCGACTTACCCTTTAAATAAAATTATCGGGCAACGCCTAGCCACAGAACAGAAAGCAGAATGAATCCAAAAGCTAAGGGCCTGTTTACTAACAAAGATATTTTCCTGTTTTCTACTTCTGTTTTTCGTTCTCCAATTTTCTGTTTTTATTTTTCAGTTTTTCTATCTCCAATTTTCTGTTTCTATTTTTTAGTTTTCCATTTTCAAATTTGAAAACATGTTCATCAATTTTTTTACACACTTCTCCAATTTCACACCCTTGACCCCTACCTCTACCCTTACCACGATCTTACACTCTACCCATACTCCACCACAACCCTTCATACCCACCCATACCTACTCGTAGGGGTCGGGTAGGGAAGTTATGGGTGGGGGTGGGGTAAGGTCGGGGTGGGGTGGTAAGGTCTAGGGGTAGGGGGTTGGGTGGGGGTAGTGGGTGAGTTAGGGTCGTGGTTGGGGTTAAGGGTGGGGTAGTTGGTAGGGTTGGGGTAAGGTAGGGGTAGGGTAGAGAGTTGGGATAGGATGGCGGTAGGGTGAGGTCGGGACCAGGGTGGGGCTGGGGTAGGGAAGGGGTAGGATGGCGGTGGGGGGTAGGATGGCGGTAAGGGTGGGGGTAGTGGGTAGGGATTGGGGTTGGGGTAAGGTAGGGGTAGTGTAGGGAGTTGGGATAGGATGGCGGTAGGGTGGGCCCGGGATCCGGGGGCCGAGGTAGGGTAGGGTGGGGGTGGGGCCGAGGTAGGAGGCAAGTGGTAAGGGGTAAGGTAGGGGTAAGTGGTAATATACGAGGGGTGGGGGTGGGGTAGGGTGGGTCGGGGTGGGGTCGAGGTGGTAGGGGGGTGGCGGTAGGGTAGGGTGGATCAGGGTGGGGCCGAGGTCGGGGCATGTGGTGGGGGGTGGGGTAAGGTCATTATAGGGAAGAAAAATGGGTATGCGGGGTGGGGGTTGGGTGGGTAGGGTAGGGGTAAGGGGCAAGGTACGAGAATGGAGGTACCGGAATGGAATTGACATCGAAGCGGGACCGGACCCACCATTAGGTGTAAGTATGTAAATTCATTGCAAAGGCACTGTAGCATCTGCGTTTTCCAAATTTGGAAAACTAGTAAAAATCACTTCTCCAAATCATTAAGGAAAAGAGAGACATGTTTCATTTTTTCCGTTATGGAAAACGATTTGGTAAACGCGTTTTTCTTTTTTCCTTTCTCCAGTTTTCCAGGAATTTATTTGGTAAACACGTTTCCTGTTTTCTGTTTTCCATTTTTCCAATTTTCTGGAAAACTGGAAAATATTTCTGTTAGTAAACAGGCCCTAAAACTCTCTGGTGAACAGAACTCAAGTGAGAATGACGACGGCTGCAGCTCCATCTCCGGCGAATCTCGAGCTCTGGTGACGGCGAGGTCTTCTCCATCTTGCCAATAATCTTTCATCTCCATCTTCTTCAACACTCTAGGTAAGTAAATCTCTCCAATTTATCTCATTTTTCATGTTAGGGTTTTGAATATTGAAAATTTGATTTTGTAAATTAGGAATTCATTTGTGAATTGAAATGTTGTGTAATGTGAATATGTATGAAATGTTGAATTTTGATATGAAATTATTGTTTGTAAATTTAATTGTGTATTTTGAGATTTGGGTAGATTTGAATGTTGCTAAATTTGGGTATTGAAATGTAGACTTCAACATTTGGGTATTTTGATATTGAAATGTGAATTGATTGTGAATTTTGTCATTTGGGTATATTACAATGTAGGTAACTTTTTCTATTTAAAATTTGAATGTGTATAAAGTGTGTATATTAATGTGTACTCATAAAAATTGGACATGTATTATTATTAGAATATGGATTTCTCAAGCTTCCCAATCATATGTCATTGGGGAGGGAACTATTATGAGGATGCTGGGCAAATATGCATTGAAGGTGGTAGAACCAGCTTTGTCATGGTTTCTCGTGGCGCATGCATGCTGGAGATCCTTCAAAAAATACATGCAGCCACAATGATTCATTCTAGCCGTTCTTTGCGGTTGAAAATGAAATTTCCCATGAATGGGGGAAAGTACATGCTTATGCTCCTCGAATGTCTGAGGATCAGGTATGGTGTGAGTTATATAACATTAACTATAATATATATATAGAATAAATACTAACTTTTGTATCTTTATGAAACAGATCACATGGATGCCGTTTACACCTGACAAGTTGGCAGAGTTGCCCCCAGCTGGACGAGAGCATACTCACATATGGCGAGCACGTGTGCCGTTGATATGTTTTGACATTGTTGAGCTTCATTTGCCTGATAGAGTGTTGCGACAGTTTGGGTTTGAGCAGGTCATTCCACGGCCTATCGACACTTATGTTGAGCTGCATAGGCTGGATAGGCGTGGGAAGCATACAGAGGATTGAGCACTCAGACATGTCACATATGTCACTATGTGGGAGAGGCGAGCTGAGCTAGTTGTGGCTGGGACACCGACATTTGTCCCATCTGTTTCAGGAGACTATATGAGATGGTATTACAGCATCACTCGTTTGTTTGTGTCTCCTTCGTTCAGACTCCCTACTCATCATTATCAGCCTAGCTCCTTGGCTTTGCATCTTACGGTGAGTATATTAGTAATTAGTAAAGTAAGCCATTTTATTTATTTAATATTTGTATGTATTTCTATGTAACTGTAATTGTGTTTCATATTTCAGACACGAGCTTTGCAGCGCATACATCAGCGGGCTACTACCACAGTGACTGATAGTCATGATGTGGACATGTATGGACAGGCTCTGACAGGCATTGCCTCCTTTGTGTTCAGATGTGTTGGGACGAGTCGACTACGGCCATCTTATACACATGCCCCCATCTCAGGAGATGCCATCCACGTCTAGTGCAGCGGCGGCTTCATCATCCCAGACGCAGCATGAGAGAGTGGTTCTTCAACCACGACAAAGACGTAGGCGTAGACATGAGTAGCAACATCTCCATGACGAAGCTGGTGATGGGAACTTGTAGTTTGTCTATAGTATTGTAGTTTTTATTATGCAGTAGATGTTGTAGGAACAATTTACAACATTTGACGTATTTTCTCTTGTAAAGTCTTGTATGTTGTCTTGATGTGTTCAAGTATGAATATTAGCTGATTACTTGTTATGAATATTGGATGATTGTACTGTGTTATACCAGTTATGAATGTAAGTTTTTGTATTTGATTTGTAAAGGGTATTTTCAAGGTGTTTTTTATGTTGATGAGAGTAGGTATTATGTATGTGATTGTGAAGACGTGTGTTGTATGTTTTATAATGTGTTGTATCTGGCTCGTAACACTTAAACAGGAGAAGAGAGACCTTATTTATAGCAAACAGATGAGTCCGGGTTGAACTGGAGCGAAAAATCTGCTGAAATCCTATTTTCGGACCTAGGCACGATCGTGCGTCCCAGGGTACGCACGATCGTGCGTGGCTGGCAGTAGCTGCTCGCCTTCAACCATATTTCAGGGGTAAGTCGCCCAATGGTTGGGTGACTTATAAGTCGCCAACCGATTTGACGACTTACCCCTGACCATGGTTTAGGCCAGCAGTAGATCGGTAATAAGTTTTTTTCCAACATTATTTTCGTAAATAATTATTTAATTAACATTAATTCGAAAAAAACTCATATATTTATAGTTTTATACGTATACAGGCACAGAGCAAAATCGTCTATTGTATTAGCCTATTAGGATTAGGGCGTTTTTAATGATTTTTTACGCTGCCTTCTAAGGGTTGGTTTGTAACTGCTTTTAAAAAAACACTTCTCAGCTTTTGGCTTTAAAAAAGCACTTATTTTCTCAAACACTATAACTTTTATTTTTCTCGGCTTCCGCGTCAAAAGTGCTTTTACTTTTTCTATTACACAAAAAACACTTATTTTAACAAACACAACCCACTTTTACTTTTCAAAATCACTTTTTTCTCAAACACTATCAACTTTTATTTAATCACTTCTCCCCATTTCATTAAAAAAACACTTTTTTAAAAGCAGAAACTGTTACAAACAGACCCTAAAATAGATGTACCGCCTATCTAGGGTCGTAAATGAACCCTAACGACTAAAAGAGATATTTGTATTGAAATAAACACTAACAAAAACATATTACAAATTACATTTATAATGTGTGAAATAAGTTGATAATTATATCAAAGTAAAAGTGTAAAGACTTCACGATCCTAATTTTATACTCCCTTCGTTCCCCAATTAAGTTCTTGGTTTGACTTTACACATATTAAGAAAAGAAATTTGACTTTACTGTGGAGTGCACTGTTTTGCACTGTTTAAACACTGTTTGACACTGTTTGGACACTGTTTGGCACTGTTCTGATGTATACAATTTGCCAAATAAGAAAAGTATTGAAATGTGAACTTAATTTAGGGACTACCCTAAAAGAAAAGTGGGAACTTAATTGGGAGACGGAGGGGTATTAGACATTCAACATCTCTAATAATAAAAACAACAATGTTTGATGTGCCCACTCTTATACCCACCTTATACACACCATGTTTGTGAATGTTTTTGTCTTGTCTGTGAACTTGATTCACAGACAATATTTTGTCTAAGCAAAATATTGTCTGTGAACCGGGGTTCACAGACAACAAAAAACACTTCACAAACATAGGTGGGTACAAAAGTGGGTATAAGAGTGGGTACAAAGATCATTTTTGTAATAAAATACCATTAGATATACTCCCTCCGTCCCATTGGACTTTGCCAACTTTCCCTTTTTGGTTGTTCCAAAAAACTTTATCACTTTCCTATTACAGCAACTAATTTGTGGTTCTGCATATTTCTCTCTCCTCTGCACAAATCTCAACCACACAATTTTTACTATTCTTATTTCTCAGTTATGTTGTATATGTATAAATTAATAAATTTAGTTATTCTTCGAATTGAGTATATAATAATTATTTGTATTCATATTTGAAAGAAGTTCAAACTTAAAATCTAATTGGTATTCGTATTCATATTCTATTTTTTCAAATTCAAATCACAATTTTTGAATCTGAACCGTGAATCGAATCATAGTTTTAAAATTCAAAATTATTTACAAGCCTTATATTATTTAAGACTTGAAATGTATATGGCTAGCTTTGAAAACTATAACTTTTATATGCTAACTCTATATTATATGGGCTACACTTTGAGGTTATAATTACCTTTTAAAATTCATCTCGACAGGGCCGGATTCAAGATTTCGAGTCAAGGAGGGCGAAATTTTTTCGTTAGTGTAGGGTGAATTTTTTTCCGCTAGTGTAGCAGGGCGAATTTTTTTTGCTTGTGTAGTAGGGCGGAATTTTTTCGCTAGTGTAGGGCACTGAGGGTAATTTTCATTAAAAATTCCATTAATACATACACAATTGCATTTAATTAAATTTATTAAATATTAAGTTTAGACAATGAAAAAATAACTTTTATTTTGTAACAGTAAATGCATTAGGAAAAAGTAATGATACATTAAAGTGTAAGAAATGACAAATCAAATGAATTTTTTTGAAAATATAAAAAGGATATGTAACATTTTATCAAATTATTTGAAGGTAAAGAGTTTAAAAGGTATACATCAATCAATATTTGTTGAATAATTTTTGTGTTGTTTAACCACATGAATCTTATAAGAATAAAGAACTGGTTTAATTTTTGAATTGTATTTTTTTGTTTACCAAGGAGGGTACGGTGTTCGTAGGTCACGAGAAGTTTCATTAATATTACAATTGTATGTATGAGATTTTTACTTTTATAATAATATTATACATAGTATTGTTAATTCATATATATGATGCAAATTATATTTGTATTAATGCTAAATAAATTATAGTTTATAATCTATGAAACAAATTGTTTTTAAAAAGTAAGAAGTTAGTGAATTATGTAGTTTATTAATGTCAATAAACATTGAGAAAATTCTCTAAATAGGAGTAAAAACGTTTTGAAATTTCAAAATAGGAGTATCATATTTTTTATTTCATGAATAGGAGTAAATTTCTTCCAAGTTTGGAATTACTGGGGAGATTTTGACATAAATATTACCAAAAGTCATGGGGGTTACAAGAAACTAACTATTAATGTGGAACACGTTTAGCGTCACGGGATTAAGTTAAAGCAAAAGGTCATATTTTTGTTAATGAAGTTTAAAATAGTAATATTTGTGTAATTTTTTCATTATTGGGCTTTAAACATGACATTTTCTTCCAAACGTGGTAGATTACTCCTATTCAAGGAATAAAAAACATGATACTCCTATTTTGGAATTTCAAAACGTTTTTACTCCTATTTAGGAAAATTTATGACAAACATTTATAATTTAGATTTACTTTACATGATCCGAAACTTGGTTAACTAGTGAATGATATTTAATAGGAAAGAGTGTGAAATAGGCTCCTCTACTAATACGAAAAAAGTCAATTAAGCCATCGAACTAAAAAAACACTCAATTAAACCCACGAACTATGAAAAACGAGGCAAAACAACCCTTTTAGCATGTAATTAACCGGTTCCTGGTAAACCTTTACACGTGGTGACAGCCGACAGGTGGCCTCAAATGGCAACACGTGGTGACACGTGGACTAATGGAACCGGGAACCAGTTAATTACATGCTAAAAGGGCTATTTTGCCACATTTTTTATAGTTCGTGGGTTTAATTGGGTGTTTTTTTAGTTCGGGAACTTAATTGACTTTTTCGTATTAATAGGGGGGCTATTTGACACTTTTCCCTATTTAATATATATTGTTTAATATTTTACAAAATCGAGTGCCAATTATCTAATAAAGATACTTAAACATTACACAACTAAAAAAATTATATAATAGGTATCCTAAGTCTTAAACAATGAGTTGTTCTATTAGTTATTTAATTATTTAAGTTCTGTATATAATTTTAGATGTTAGTTAGCTTCTTTTAAATCTCCAATTAAGTATTACATTATGCACGATTATATATTAATTTTGAAAAATAAAAGTTAAGGCGGGCAACTAAAAGTCAAGGGAGTTAAGTATTACATTATGCACGATTACTATTCTTATTTTTCACCTACTTTGCACTTGGCAAAGTCAATCGAGATGGAGGTAGTAACTTATAACATTGTTTAAATATTTCAACTACATTAAAAGAACTAAAACCGTAAGTCATATATAGCATATACTTCAAACTCCTTGACTACCTTGCTCAAACCATGTTGCCCAAACTTACAAACAAGTATAGCATATAAAAATAAATATTAACAAAGTCAAACTAATTAATCTATAAAAATAAATTAGTTAAAAAATCGAACTTACAATACGGAATATAGTATGACAAAGTACCATAAAATAGTCAAACAAATTAAACCACACTCAAACCCAATTTAAAGTGTGAAAATTAGAAAATTAGAAAATAATATTTAATATTCATCAAGCACAAAAATATATTAGCAAAAAGGGAGACTTAACTCACCAAATCGTGAATATGAAAATAATATCATTTAATCATTTCAACAAACACCTTATGAGCATAAAAGTGAAATAGAATAGTTGAACAAAAATCGAAATTAATAACATCACAAATCTTTAACAATATAATAATGTAAATCAGCATTCAACATTATAACATACTTGTATGTTACATACATAAAATTGAAAAAACAGAATTAATTGTCATGACCCAAAATGCACAAAAAATGGAATAAATACTTTATGTGAACAAGGTCTTGGGAGAAAAGAGCACATTCTCACTTGAAAAACTAAACGCTGTCTCAATCATCTGTTTGTAGATGTTGAAATTCCAAGAGTTCATATCCTATACCCCTTTTTTCGTATACAACATAACACGTCAATTTTTTATGATGCCGTTAATCCCATTATAAATCACATTCACGTATACTCCGTATGAA